GCGCGTTATACACCCAACACGTGAAAATATATATATATATATATATATATATATATAGAGAGAGAGAGAGAGAGAGAGAGAGAGAGAATGTTCATAATTTTTTTCTTACTTTTGTCCTTCCTGCAAGAAACATATAAAAACTACTGATTTATATGTCAGAATATGATTTTACGGATTCTACTTCGAGATTTCTCGCGACACAAGAGAAATAACGGTTACTTTCGAATATAACTGCATGCATATATACTTCAAGAAAAAATCGGAAATGGAAATTCATGAAGGTGGTGTAAATATGAGGTACGAGCCTCTTGCAGGAAACTACCATTTTGTGCCTCTACTTCTAACACTACTGAAGAATTCAAGAACTTCTTTGGTTTGTTCCTCAGAAGCTTATTCAAGTTCTCCGTTCTTTATTTCTTGACAGAAATCCTGGGGGAAATCGGATGCTGCAGGGAGAAGACACGCCTATACTGTGCAGACGTGACTCGGCACTTGCGAACAGTAGAAGCGTGTTACTTGGAACCGACTCGCGCGCCTTCGATTCAACTTGACAGTTGGACAAAAAATGGACATAACTCCTCTTCTAGTTCAACTATGCCCCATACAAGAACTGTTGAGCCAAAGAATCAGCCATTGCTAAGTAATACACGCACGCAACAATAGAAAAACGGGATTGTGAACCCCGTTTCTAGGAAATGGCTCGGTAGACACGTCCAACGCGCAACAATGGAAAATGTGTCTCAGAGGGCGACTGTTATAGGTCGTCGCTAGGCAACAGCCAGAGCTCCAGTGGACAGACCAGATAGCAGCCACGTGAAATGTGTTTTATGTGTGGTCCATGCTTACATGCGATAATTATTCAGGAATTCAATTTTTTGGATTGATGCTCTAAAATAAATCTTCGACCAAAAAATGCTACAATCAGATTCCACTCCTTACACCAAACTGTCACGTGTAGGGATAGGCGTGACAAAATAACTGGTTCTATACCGGCTGATTGGATTTACTGCCTCTTCGGTTACAGTTTCTCTTTATGACACTCGATTATAACCTCATCGCTACTGTACACATTTTCAGGTCACCGGTGTATGGGCACTAGGATTCTCCGTCTTCACTAGTCGTCTCCTGACAACGGATCTCAACATAGAAACTTGCACTTCAAATTTCTGTTAGGTCTTCTTTTTATTTCGTCTTCAGTCACTCTGCATTACTCCGTCCTAATTTCTACTCAACTAATCTTCAAAATTCACTCAGATCATTCTCCATTCTCGTCCTTGTACTCTCAACTGCACTTCACTACACTAATGTAAGCCACAGGCTCCGCACGGACCACAGAAAACACGTCACGTGATTGCTATCTTGCCAGTCCACTGGAGCGCTGGCTGCTGCCTAGCAACGAGCTACAATACTCGTTCACTGAAACACAGTTTCCTTTGTTGCGAGTTGGAAAGTGTTTACCGAGCCGTTGTCTAGAAACAGGTTGCATTGTTCTCATGTCACGTGCTTGTATTACTTACCAGCGGCTGTTTCTATGGCACAGCATTCCTGCATGGGACAAATACACTATAATATTTACATGTCAGTTTCTATATTTAAAAGTTCAAAGGTGACGAATGATTTCAGTGTACGATTCGTATTTCTGCAGTATTTGGGACACGGGCGGAAATGAAGCCCTTGACTTTTAACGCTATTCAGATGGCCAAATACCACATTCTTTAAACAGTTCACAATCATGTGGCTGTAAATTAAGTAACCAACTTTCTAGCTCAGCAACCAGTGAAGAACTGGAGAAAAACTTGACCAGTATCACTTAGCCCCTAACGAAACTGAAAAGAAATTATCTACGCTTGAAGCCGAACCTACGCTTGGGGCAACCAGCCCAGAGCTAAGGCATGGACTTAACCCAACTCTGACAGCCATGTTGTATACTGTGGTATTATTATAAGGGGAATTTGAAATCCCATTTTAAAGACCAGTCAACCCCACACTGGTCGTTCGGTCTCAGGATTGTGCTGTCTTCGACTGTCTGATTAATGGGATTGTGGCTTCGAAGCGTGGATGCATGACCATGTTGCCATGTGTGTGCAGATCCTTTAGGTTCTCCGATCTTCCATCCAGTCTAACCATGTGCCGATATTATTCAGAGTGGCAAATTATAATTCTACATTGGAACATGGCTGACATGTACCATATATATATGTACGTGTATATACGTACATGCGTGGGAGTAGGTGTTGTCTTTCACTGTATGCGAGTCATTTATACTTTCCCACCAATATCCCATACGCATTCCTCGTCTCCCCATTCATGCTACATGCCCAGCCCATCTCATCCTCCTTGGCTTGATATTCTAATTATACTTGGAAAAGTACAAGTTATGAAGCTCCTCATTATGCAGTTTTCTCCAACCTCCTGTCACTTCATCTCGCTTCGGTCCAAATATTCTCAACACCCTGTTCTCAAACACCCTCAGTCTACGTTCCTCCCTTAATGTCAGAGGCCAAGTTTCACACCCATACAGAACCACGGGCAAAATTATAGTTTTGTATGTTCTAATTTTTATGCCTTGGACAACAGACGAGAAGACAAAAGATTCTGGACTGAATGGTAGCAAGCATTACCGGAGTTCAATCTCTTCTTAATTTCCTCGTGAATCAGGTTTCGATCTGTTATTGTTGTCCCCAAATATCTGAACTGTGCCACATTTTCAAAACATCTGTTACCTATCTTTATGTCATGATTTTGCCCTGCATTTTGGTGACGAGACAGCAACATATACTTAGTTTTCTCTGTATTTACTTCTAGACCAACCTCCTTTCTTGCATCAATTGAAGTTTGTGTGTTTTTCTTTATGTTATCTACATAATGAAAAACAAACATGTAATGAGTGGGCAAAGTAGAATGTCTACGTACACGTGCTGAAGCAGCTGCGCTCCAGCGAATTCACAGAATACACAGGCTACGTTCCTTGTATTGTTTCACAGCCACTTCGCTACTTTCAAGGGGCCACATCTCATTTCACAGCTTATAACAGGATGATCGTGTGAAATTCCTCTTCTTGGGGCATTCTTTGTTCGAATATCGGCCGAATAACCATATAATCCACGTGGTGTACATGTACCTGTAGAGCACGGGGTTTACTAGTGTTGCCATTTGTTTTAATATTATACGTAAACTATATTTCCCCCCTCCCCCACAGAACGCTTATGGGTTTCGTATGATTTCCCGACACAGCACTACAAATTGATCTAAGCCGCTGCGGGTTCCTCTAAATACTATTCCACTGAATTTCACGCTTTAAGAACTAAACTGATTTAGAAAATCGATGAATAAATATTGGCATTCATCATACAATTCACAATGCGTACAATCCCTGCACCTCGCTATAAGAGTGTGTGGCAGACACGGAAGTAAATCGCCACCGAATGAACACGAATGTTTCAGCCACCCTACCTTCGGGAGATTTTACACAATACGCGTTCGATTTATTTCTGGTTTGTATTCTGAACATACCTGGTTTGAACCTCGACTGCGACCTAATCCTGACCAAGGGTTTTCGTGATTTCACTCAGTACGCCATTAAACTGCAGGACTGTAACTGAAATTTGGCCACGACCGCTTGCTTCAAGATATATTCTGGTTGGTTATTCGCTATTACGTATTTTTTGGCGATATTTGTTTTGCGTCACTGAAAGCGTCAAGGAATCAAATATAAATAAATGCATACATAAATAGACATGCCACTGAACTGTAGGTTAGATGTGCTCGAGGTCCATTCTAATTGTAGCGATAAGCACAGACATGTCCTTCATATGGGAAGGGAACATTTGACTGATCATTCAGTGGACAGTCCCTTTACTAACAGAACGAAATGACATGACAACCGAGTCCGAAGTCATGTGTCCCGTTTAAATGAGTCATCAATTGTATCAAAAGTCAACATCTGTGAGTCTTAAGTCAAAGACTGAGCACTTACCTGAACAGACTAGAATGAAATACCCTGATAAGGTGACATCAAATTTGATTTTCATGCTGATAGGTTTGAAGACAGCCAACGTTAACACTCGCCGACCGCCACTTGAAATATACGCCCCTAAATAGGCATTAAACCTTCCTTCCTCTCTTTAGATCCAAATTTAGTTGAAGCAGATGTATAAAAATCACATAATGACTTTTCAAACGTTTTTAATTTAAATGTAATATAAGTACGTCTATTACCAATATTTTTTATTTGTGAGCACTTCACGAAAACGTCTCAAGGCTGTACGTATATGAAAATCATGAAAAACTAATACAAAAAAGGTAGAAATATTTTCACTGAAATTCACCAAGAGAAATATGAATTAGTGTTTATTGTCTATGGAATTATAATACCTCAGAAGTATCGTTTGCTTTAACACTTAGAACTGGACATACAATTCTCTGAACTCTATTGTAAGTGCTCGGAGAATGCGATAACAAAAGCCGATTTGGTTCAATGCAACCCTCCCGCGCAACGCTTCGGAAGCTACTGCCGCCGTGACGCCAGGAATTTCATATTTCCTAAGTTCCAGCGTCGCCCGTTAGGTATCGATAGTGGCGCCTCAAAATAATTCACGTGCCGTTGCTATAGCAACGGCGGTAACTACAAGTTTACTTTGTAACACAATCATACACACTGTCCATTATCTAACTTTTCGACAATCTACTTTTCTTTACAAAGAGCTGCTTGTTATTATGCTGAGAGATCATGTTTATTTGTTGGTTTGTTTGTGATCTACGTTCCTAATGTCGAGCGAGATCGGAAAATTTTCGTAAATGGATTGTGAAACAGGCGATCATTCCGTGTTTCGAGACACTAATTCGAAATTCCAGAAAATCTCGTTAAGGATGTTTCGCTCGAGATCTGTAGTTGCAGAGCTGCCGTTATATTAACATGACTGGTGCCTCGAGTTACGTGTATACAGGATGATTCACGAAGTTTTACCCCGGCTTATGGTACATATGCCTGGGGTTATTTCCTGCAAAATTTCCTTATAAACTTGTGGTCGATTTTCAATAGTTACGGAGTAACAATATATTTTCGAAACGCATCATTGTGAATGCAGCGCTATGCCTCAGCGTGGGCGACCATACGTTCCAGCTATATCAGCAGATAAGGTAGACCGGTTTGAATGTTGCGCGTAGGTAGATAGGCAGAGCGGTTCATACGTGCAGGGAGACATTTTTGAAAATCTTATGCAAATCCAGTCGTCTTCTAAAGCGCTACAGTTTAAAGGAAACAGATTGATAGAAGGGTGTGATATGCAACCACTGGTATGTTTACAGAATGGGATGCTGAAAATAATGTAATTTTGTAACACAAAATCGACAACAGTAGCATATATCTGTACANCCTCAGTGCACAAGACGACTGTGGAATGAAAGCTCTTAAAAAATGTGCGAAAAATGAAATAACCAATTTTGGTCAAAATCGACAACAGTAGCTTATATCTGTACAAAAGGAAGGTTTCAATCTCAAGGAAATAGCGTGGCATTTAGCTCCCTTAGGATTTCTTGCAGACAGAAGGAAAAGTATTCTTNTCGACGAAAAATGTTGCACAATGCAAAATTAAGAAATTGAAAAAATTTGGGTTTTAAAATGCTTCTTTCCTAAAATATTAACGATTTAAAAAGTGTTTGTATTGTATTTATAATTTGTTTTGACTGAAATTCGAAGACAAAAAGATTTTTCGCCAGTTTTCAAATTACTGTATCTCTTTAATTATGAGTTGGATACCATTAGTATATTAACATTTTTTGTTCCAAATTACCTCAGGAATGCCCTCCCTAAGTGGGGGTAAAACTTCGTGAATCACCCTGTATATACGGCATTGCAACTTGAGCAATAATTATTATTCAAGGATTAAAATAAAGAAAAAGGTAGAAAAATCCCCGTAACAGACCGTGAAGGCCCATAAGATTTTTCCACAGCGGCGTCCCGGGTTCGATCCAATGTCAGTTCATATTGGATTTGAGGTGGACAAAGTGTAAGTTTGCTCCGAGTTTATCGGTTTCCTTTGCCAATTCTCTTTCCACATTCTTCTCCACACAAATCATTAACTGTCAACTGGGGCTGGGGCAGTGGGACACAGTGACCGACCTACCAAGTGGACTCAAGTCTCAACACACCCCAAATGGAAAAACAAAAAAATCTGTGTCTTTAACCACAATGGAAAAAAAAGACTTACAGTTTTTTTAAGAAAGCCGCCAGAAGGAGCGTGGAGGTGACTGAAGAGAAGGGTTGAGCTACGACAGTGGCCGTTTCTGCTCGTGGTTCAACTGGTGTTCAAGAGTGAACTGGAAACGACCAAAAAACAAACTGACTATTGCATGGAGCACGACTGGTTAACTTTCCGAAATAAGAAACAGGGCTGTACGCCAAGTCTAGCAGTTCTAAATCCTCAGTGCACAAGACGACTGTGGAATGAAAGCTCTTAAAAAATGTGCGAAAAATGAAATAACCAATTTTGGTCAAAATCGACAACAGTAGCTTATATCTGTACAAAAGGAAGGTTTCAATCTCAAGGAAATAGCGTGGCATTTAGCTCCGTTAGGATTTCTTGCAGACAGAAGGAAAAATATTCCCGAGAATATATGTTTAAGAAATTTATCTTGCAGGGAATTTATTACTGCAAAGCATATAATATGACAAAAGAAAATGTGTCGTTTCATACTTTTGAATCTAAGTCAATTTAGGAGAACTAAACGGAATTGACATGGTCCACATTTTTCACCCGTAGAGCTCGTGTCTTGACGTTCTGAATCACATCTGTGGTGTAAAGAGAGAGATAGAGTGTTTGTGTGTGCGCGCGTGCGTGTGTGTGTTTTTTTAACGACATCGCTAGGTCGAATTTCGTTGATAATTGACAAGTCCGATAGTCGACTCTAATAGTGTACGTTCGAATTTGTGTCGCGGATAATGGATTGACCTTTGTGGTACATTTATTTTTGGACTTGAACAACTCCAAAGATGTTATTGCAAAAGGCTTTCTGTTTTTGCTCAATTATTTTCAGTCAAGCGGAATTAAGCAAAACTACTTAAAACTCATTTACTTTGTATCGGATGTGGTGCTGGGGAATAAAAGTTGGATACTGAAAATAATGAGGAACAAATTTTCTTCAACTGCGTGGCATTGCCCTAACCACACTTTACAAATATCGGTCAGTGCCACGGCAAAACCAGTTTTAGGTATCAACAGAGTAAAGCTTTCATTCTTGTATAATGCATACGCCTAAAAATAGGACACAACTTAAAGTGTGCAAAATTTCTGGAAATTGGGGCACTAAATTCGGCCGAACTTCAAGCTTCTACTTTCCGGACAGTTTGGACTATCTGCGATAGCTATGAAGCTTTAATGTAACGTTTTGAAGAAATGAAGAATGACATGACGAGGATCGAATAGGAATATATGTATATGTATTAGGGCTTAGAGCGAAAAACTACAAGTAAAAATTTCATAACAAGTTTAGAATTATTGCTTCATGGTCTTCAACAATTGTCCGAATTGTGCTTGCACTACCAAGAGCAACATGGCTCAATGCTGAGCGCATGAAAAGATAATATTCTTGGCACAAATTTTGCAAGAAAGACAAACGAGCCCAGAAAAATATTATGAAAATGCTACGAAAGCTGCCCAAAATATCTACTGTCAGAGAGACTGACTTCATAAAACGTAAAAACGTAATCCTCTAAGCGATCTGGAACTTTTCACACAACTTCGAAGAATTTGGTTGAACGCGACGATGCTGATTCGGCGCAGTGGGACGCGCTGATAACAAAACCTGCGTCGTGGAGACTCTAATACACAATGAGGATTCGCTGAGACTGAGATCCTATTCTCGCATTTGATAAGTGTCTGACCGGCTGCTGCATTTGAAACACAGAATGGGATTCTCATTTCCTCAAGTGAATGTGAATGCAAAAGAATCTGAACGTTGGCCCAAGCCGAACTTCGCTGACAATGAAAAGAGTTCAAGCATTGTCGTTTATTTAAATTGTCCGTCCCTGCAACGCTTCGAGCCTACAAAACTCGTGGTTACTATAAAAACGTCATTCAAGCATAGGCACAAAAGGCAAGAAATGGACATCGGACTAGAACCTTATGAAAATGTACGTAGAATTATATTCCATAAGATTCAATTTAGTGCATTTTCGTCTACTAATTCTTTAAAACCAGACAATTAAACGTGGTGTACCAATGCCTTATTTCGATTTTAATTCCAACATATTTTATTTATTTATTTATTTCAACACGATTATAGAAGAAAGTCGTCTTCTGGGTTTAGGCACCGTGTATTCTTCGTTTCGGCCGACGTTTCGGAGGAACGTAGCGCCTCCATCTTCAGAGCAGTTGAATGGCTTGGAATGCGGAGAGCAGTAGCTGTAGTACAGCCGAAACGAAGAATACACGGTGCCTAAACCCAGAAGACGACTTTCTTCATTGTCATCGCCGTGAAAACCTCAAAACTTACGATTATAGAAGTTTATCATCCGGGAAGTATGTCAGATAAATGGTGGAAGAGACACTTTTCAGATTTACTTTCAATAAAAGAGTACCGGCGCCTGTTCTTTCCAAAAAAGAGCACACTATATAAGTAAATATTAGAGTTCACCTTTCATTGTTTCCATACCCCTTCCGTTTTGTAATCTAATCTAACATACTTCCATCCCTTTATGTCTTATGGTACCAGGAGTCTGAACCTACGCAAATATTGGGGTCTCTGCATATCTTAACGCAGCTCTGCTCTTATTAGTCATGATTATTTTTTTAATTCGCTCAGTGGGGAGTGGAGTCCAGCTGAGTTCACCAGGCACGGCGGCCACTGATTGGCCTATTGTAGCCTGCCCCGGGTGATTATGATGATGGAGAAAAAACCCGCCCCACCGCCACTTTGTCCACCACAAATCCCACTTGACCAGACCAGGGATAGAACCAGGCCACCGCGGTGGGAAGCCAGCGACTAACCGCTTGAGCTTTAGCGCAGCCGAATATTCATGGTAGTATTGTATAAGAGTCAAAATTCTATTGCCATGACGTTTGATAAAATGTCTGAACTGGTTCAGAAATTAACCGAGAAAACAAGCTGATATAAAGATTGTCTCGATGGGACCTCGTTTTTTATTGAGAGTAATCGGTATGTTCGGCTTTAAAAGAGAATTAGCCAGGGAAGTGCATACAGGTGCAGTTCTTACAGAGGTCACTGAGAAGTGACTGGGGAGTGACTCCTTGTAATGGGAGAGAAGTTTACCGATTTCTTGTAGGGGAGTATTGCCTATCTTCGGTTTCGAAAAGTAAGCCATGCAAGCTAGCAGGCAGAGTGCTCTCCGCAGATAAAGGCAACAAGTTCCACCAAAACATCGGTCAGTTCCTACCGCCAGACACGGCATCACAGCCAAGAACACATACCTACCGCTGCCTCAGTTTAGATTACAACTTCTCGTCTTTCGCGAAGAAACTAACTCCCTGTACCTGCGTC